AATAAATGCTAGAAAAATTAAAGGAGGGCACGTAACAAAAAAAATGAATTATTGAGGGCGATATTTTGGAAATGTGTGATGATAGGGCAATTTTTTGTCCCTTTTTTCCCCCTAAATTCATCATTCTTCAATTAACTTTATTGTTAGTGGGCCCCGCTTGCTTAATAAAGAAACCCTAATTTATAGAAGTATCACAAATAATAGATTAGAGCTAATCAATACTTGTTCTCAAAATAAAATACTTATTTTTCGTAACCCTAATTTCGTAACTTTATTGTTAGTGGGCCCCACTAAGCTCTTATGAAAAAATGTTAAATACATAGATAATTACTTATAAGTCTAAAAAAGTACTTCCAAGTTCCAACCATATTACAATAATCGAAAATGGTTGATACGCAAACTGATCGAACACTCACAATAGGGAAGGGCCCACTTTTTTTTTGAAATTTTTTATTTACACGGGATTCGCACACATGTGAGAGGTCGTCAATGCTTCTGTCACCCATTTTCGGGGCAATGAAACTCAATTCAAGTACTTCAAAGTTAAAAACTTCTAAAAATAATAGATTAATTTAGAGTAAGTGGACAGACCGAGCTATCATTGTAATTATTATGCCTCTGTTTGGCACCCATTCTCTTTTTCATTCTCATTCTCTTTTTTCATTTCAACCACACAATCTCCAAATAAAATAATATTACACAAAAATCTAAAAATTTTCATCACTTTTCCATCACATATTCTCCCATCAATCACTATTCTAAAATTTTTCAACCCATTAAAATGGGTGTCAAACACTCCCTATCCCTATGTATTGTAGTCGTCTTTTGAGAGAGAGAGAAGGAGCGTTACAGTTATCTGTAAGTTATACAAAAATGGTGGGGCCTAAACTGACGATTCGCTGGAGAAAAAAAAATAAAAAATCAAGAATAAAAGTATAGTGAAGAAAGGCCAACATGTAGGGTAGGTATAGGATAGGACAGTACTCTTTCTCTCTCTAGAATTCTTCAATATGATGTACTTGTGTTTTCTCTCTCACGCATATTCACCGAGGGAGATGGTGAATATTGGAGAGTTAACGGTACAAACTTGCTTTTTGGTGGGGGGGAGAACCTGATGCCCCTTTTGATGTATTAGTGGGTGGCTCTGCTGCTTTCTCTTCCTGCCGTACATATATGCATATACATATCTATAGATACATCATACATATACAATCACGCGTTCTTTTTCTTCCTCTCTGTGCTCTAATCTTTTTGGTTGTTTTTGATATGCCCTCATTTTATCCTTAGTTTTTTCACCGTGTAATAAGAGCTTCAGAACTGGTATGGGATTTTTTGATCTTTCAGGATCTTTTCTTTAACATCTTCTGCTCTTGAGAATCAGACTTTCTTGGGGTTTTCTTGAATTTTCTTTCAGTTTTTAATTTATTACTCTCTTTTTGGGTCTTTTCCTCAAATCTTGTTTGTGCGTTTAAACTACTTTGTTATTTTCATGTCTACTGTTTGCAGACTGACCTAAGATTTTATTTTGGACCTGGGTTTCGTCTCTCTTAGATCTTTCTCTATAATGGACAATCTTTCACCAAACTTCAAATTTTGAGGTCATTTTATTGATTTCCTCGGTCCAATTTGGGTTATCTTTTCGATTCATCTCATCTTGCCATGATATCATCTTGATTTACCTTCTTTGAAATTGGTGTTTAAAGTGCGTAACTTCTTGGTTTTTCCCATAGTGAAAATATTCAAGAAATCTATGAACTTCTTCTTGATCTACCCACATAAAATAACGTTTTATGAAGTTTGATCTTTGTGTGTGCGCTTATTTCTTTGTCAAGCTTTTGTTCTTTCCTTCTCTGTCATGCTTCCTCCAACACCTTTTAACGTTTCCAAGCACATAAAATAACGTTGTGAAGGGTTCTAGAAGTTCCCTTCTGTTTTCTTGACTCTTGATCTCTTGTTGACATTGTCTCATCTTTGCAGATTGATGGATAGATGAAGAAATGGATATTTAGATTTTTCTTGTGACCGTTTGTTGGGCAGCAAAAGAAGGGAGAAAAAACTATCAGCAGATGTTATCCATTGAAAACCCTCCACCATGTCCACCATGTTCTTGTGAAATTTCCCAGCTGAAAAGTAGTAGTGATACTAGGGATGAAAGGGATTCTGATAATAGGCCTCAGCTTCAGTTAGATCTGCTCAAGTCAGGCTTTGATTACAACACTACCAAATTCTCCTTAAGGTAACAAACACAAAACTTTGAATTAGCGAACTCTTTAGGGGTTTCGCTTGATTGTTTTGTCATGGTTATATATTAGACTTTCTTGGTTGGTCAGATCTACAGTTGCATCTCAAACTTTATGATTATTTCTTCATCTTCTGTCTTTGTTTTCATGTTTACCTGATTGTACTATTTTTAGCTGGTTTTTGGCCTTCAGATGGGTTTCTGTGTATATAAAGCTACAGTTTCAAATTTGACCCACTGTTTTTGGATGATGTATTTCTGGTTATTTTATGTGATAAAAACCTTGGTGTGTTTATCCACCATGTGTATATTCTTCATGATGTTGGTATCTGTTGGAAAGTTCACTGTCTAAAGCTGCTATTTCTTCTTAATCTTCATATTTTTCAGTTGTTTTGTTAGGGAAAGATTTCCATTTTCTGCAATTTTCAAAAGTTGGACTTCTAAATAATTCTTAAATTTTGCTGCAGGGACTATGTTTTTCATACCCGGAGCAAGGATATCCAGACTAATTGGCCATTTTCTCAGAAAAATTTGAAACTTTGTTTAAAGCATGGTGTTAAAGATTTGTTGCCACCTTTTCAATCTCTTGATTCCGTGAAAAATCCATCAATTGAGAAATGTTCTTTAGGAATTTCAATTGACAAAGAAAATATAAGCAGTTATGATGAGAAGCTTAACTGGTCGAGCGATCATCTCGTGTCTATATCTTCTTGCAATGTTAAAGGTGACAATAAGCTAGTTGTGGATTGTGAGAACATAAATTCAAGTGGATCTGAAGCAGATAAAGAATTTTCATCAACCACGGCAAGTCAGTCTTGTTCTGAAATAGATTCAGTTCTCGCGATAGAGAAGCCTTGTTTGGAAATAGTAACTGGTAATTTGTCAGGACCTGTAGTCACGAAGCCTGAGTCTGCAGTTTTAGCATCCAAGAAGATCATAAGCTCAACTCAAAGCCCGGTTAAGAAGTGCAGATTACTTGTGAAATTGAGCAACATTGTAGACCTGAGGTCTAACGAAGATCCTGTCCTGAACACTTCTGTGGCATTAGGAACTATGGCTTCAAAAGTGTGTCCCGTGTGCAAGACATTTTCATCTTCTTCAAACACCACTTTAAATGCCCATATTGATCAGTGTCTTTCTGGGGAATCAACAATCAAGGGGACATCAAATTCCAAGGTTACTAAGCATAGAATAAAACCAAGGAAGCTAAGATTGATGGTGGATATATATGAGACAGCTCCATATTGTACACTTGAGGAGCTTGATAGGAGAAATGGAACCAACTGGGCATTAAATTTGGGCTTTCCAGCTCAAAATATTGAGACATGTGCAGAAGAGAGGAACAAAACACCGTCTCCTGTTAATCGTGAGGAAACCAATAAGGAAAGTGCAGTCTACATTGACTCCAGTGGCACAAAGCTTAGGATTTTATCGAAGTTCAATGATCTGCGGACATTCTCCAATACCAATGATGACTTTGAATTTATGAAACTTGTTAAAAAAGACGAAGAAAGCAAAATTCTCTTGAGTAAGAAGAAAAATAATCTGGTCCAGAAACACCATAAGCTTCTGAAACATGTTCCCCATGGTCAAAAGAGTTTCTTTCCCAGGCCAGATCATCGTTCCAATGTATGTTCATCTCCTCTTTTATGTTTTGTTTTTGCATGTGATTGTGTTGCCTCTTGTGTTAATCGTTGATTTTCATATCTGGATTTGAGAGCATTTGTTTAGCTTCTGTTCCGTCATCGTTGAGAGAATTACTTTTTGCTAAGATAGGAATATATCTTAACTGTCACATATTTGTTTCTTCAACTCACCAGATTGAAGCATGGAATGGTTTAAAATAGTCATCTACATGCTTCGATTGAGCTAGGTGACTGGTCATGTTTTCGTATTTAATATGTCTCCAATTCAGATTGTTTAATAATTGTGGAGTTGTATTTTTTATGTGTACTTTAAAAATTTTACAAACTGCTTTCTGCGTCGAAAGTCCAAATGTTTGTCACTTTCAGCTAAATAAGCTTTAACCATGGGTTTTTCACAGATTAATGATGGTGGGAAAAGGAAGTTTCTCACTGAAAAATGCTTCAGGAAAGAGGGATACGTTACACAGCCCCCCAAAGCTCATGATCTGATAAAATTCAATTATTTGGGAAGAATAAAACAATGGGTAGGCTTCAAGCGCAGTGATCTCACAAAGAAGATAAATGAAAAGGATGAAAATCAACAGCCAGACAAAAGCTTCAGAAAGGACTTGAGAACCAAAAGTCATCAGTTATCAACAGGTAATCCATTCACAAAGAGAAGTAGTCTTTTGAATTCTCAGGCCTTGCCTGATGAGAACCAACTTTCTCCTCCTGAAAGCAGCAGAAGAAAGGAGAATTTATCTTGTGATTCTTATGAAGAATACGGGGAACGGTCTTTGAGAAAAAGGGCGAGCTGTTCGTCATTGGAGTCTAAAGACTTCCATTATGAGAAGAATTATCAGGTGTTATCTAAGTACAATGTGAAACAGTTTAGAAAAGGTGGCCTCTCAGTTGAGTGCAATATGGATTTACCAAAGAGTATTGAATATCATGCATCTTCTCAAAGTAAAAAAAAAACGAAGAGCAACATTAGTCCAGCCAAAAATGCTGATAGTTCTATTATGAACCCAAAATCATCTGGAAGTAAAATGTTTTCATCTTCGGCGGAGAATATGTTGTCGGTCAGTGGAACATCCGCTTTTGGATCGAAAACAAAAATGAAAAGAAAATTGCTGGACGTCAAGAAGCTTCGGCAGCACTACATGTCAGGATCAGATGAAGAGGCAGTTGCATCACAATTTGCAGTTGACCCGCAAGATGATTTGGTAGAGAAACTTTGTGAAAGTGCAGATCAAATGAAAGAGATTTCTGATAAGAAATATGTTGAAAGAACAAGGGCTTTGAAAATCCAAAAGAAAAGAGAATTCATGATCTCCAGGAAACAGGAAGCCCTGGCTTTGAGGAGCTCACTGCCATCATCTGAATCTTATGGTCATGATGCCGTGGAATCTGTTGGAAACGAGGTTTCAATTCTGGAGGACATTGTCAGCCAACCAGCTTCAGGAATGGCTAATGGGGAACTCTCTATGGCTCTTAGCAATTCTATGGATCCTAGGGTCTTAGAGGATGCTGATCTGGATGTTCAACTTGACTCGCGACACTATATTGAAGCATACAAGGAACATTATCCAGCTGAGCTAGTATTTGATGGTGAACATAAGATGTTTTGTGCAGATGGTCACATGGTGGCAGAATTTGACATTGATGAAGGGCAAGGAAAATACTTTGTCGGAGTCGATCCGATACCTATTCCTGGACCGCCAGGATCCTTTTTGCCAAGTCCTGGGCGTATGGGTTCGGAAGATCTTCAAGGAAATTCATCATTAACAACCTGCAGGGTTCAATCTTCGAAAGATGATCATGAATTAGTTGATAGGGGTTCTTCATATTCTCCTACTTCTGCTACATCAATAATCTCTAACTCCGTTGCAGCAAGATCTGATTCCATATCCTTCGAAAAATTTCCTCCTAGATCTCCTGAAGAAAACGAGATTAAATCTGGCTTCGCAGGAGCTAGCATTGATCCTATTGTGGGAATGTCCACCACCCCCTTCGAGCCGACTGCAAGTGCAGGAGAAGGAAACCTCAACCTGGATGTCTCCAAGGTTGACTTGATGTTTCCTGAAATGGGTTCTCTCAAATTCAAGACCGCTCAGCCATGTTGTTGCTCTAGGAAGGAAGGAGCTTCACAAGCTGTTGCTTTGAATTATCAAGACTCGGAACATTGGCAACGGAATCTGGCTTCACCCTCACTTCCTGCTGATAAAAAGCAGATGATTGCTGATCCAAAGGGAAAATTTGACAGTTCTAGCTTTACTCCAGAAATGCTCTCTATGAGAGAACCGAGTCCAATAGCTGAAGCAAATGTTGCAAACTCACCAATGGGGTATCCTAAGAATGTTTTGATTGATTCTGAGGTTAAGTTCTCTAGTCATGGTGATTTTGAATCTGCTACTCCAGCTACTTCTAATCCTATTCTCAGACTGATGGGAAAAAACTTAATGGTGGTAAAGAAAGACGAAGATGTTACAGCCCAGTCACGTATCACAAATGTCCATGTAAAGAAGCAGTTTTGTGCTGATAATGGTGTCTCTCCTGAAAAGTTTCAAAAGGAGGATCATTCCTTTCATCATGTGGTTTCAAAAGAGCCCCTCGTCTTTGACCGTGCTCAAAATCATACCTTATCACGGCACTTTGATGTTGGATCATCAATTGGTTTTGATAGTAGTGTTAGTACACCACAGTCATCCCCTCATCCACCACTAGTCCAATTTTCATGTAAGAGTTTTGGTGGGAGTTTCAGACCCTCAGAGTGCATTGAATACATAGGAAGCTGCAACTTGTCCACTGAACAACAAGGATCCATGAACAGACTGGGTGTTCCGATAACATCTGACGCTGAAAAAGTTCGAATTCCTTCTGGCTATAACATTAATATGCCAGTTAGCTATGCTGATTCAGACGTTAAAACAACACATGTCAAAGAAAATATGAAAGGTAGGGAATCTACAGTTGGGATTTCAGCATCAATGAACGTAGGCTATGACTCAAGGCATGTGAATCCGTTGTATAGTTATCAATCACGGGGTTATTCTATCTGTAGAGAGTCACCAATGGTTCTTAATGCAAGTTTTCAGGTGCCACACCCTAGGGGAATAAAAGCCAGTCCTGTTAACTGGAATTGTACTTCAGAATGGTCAAGTGTTCTGCATCCGAATTCTTTAACAGATCCATCATCCTCCACATGTCACCTGAAATCTGAATTGCATTAATCTCCTCATTTGTCATGAGAGACAACCTATACTTGGCTGAGTCTTTCATCCCATGGAAAGTGTCAGTTTTGCATCAATATATGAGCCAAATCTCTTGATTTTCCTTGCCAACTGACTTCCAAAATGGTTGATGATTAGGGCTGACTGTACGAGAACAAAAACATGCCGTTTGTTGAAGTACAACCATCAAAAGTTGAGTAGATGACTTTTATGTACCGTTACATTTTCTGTATGAATTGCTGAAAACTTCGTAGATTCAAAAGAGTTTTGGTGCTTCTAGGCTACTCCAGAAGCTTCCTGGAGGCTGATGTATAAGAAATCTTTGAATAACAATTTATCCAGAGGCCTTTTATAGTTCTTTTTGTTTCCCCTAATTTTATGAACCCCCTTCCCATTGATGGAAGTGGAGAGCATTGACGCATAGACAAGTCTTATCTTAAGCAGAATATTTTTTTCCCCTCTATTCCTGCTGCTATCATTTACCTAAGAGATATGCAATGTTTTGTTATAACGTTTTGATCTGCAAAGTTTATGGCATTTATCAGTCCAACAAAAATTCCATAAGCAGGTCACTCGTTAAAGTATTAAGAAGATCGCAACTTGAAGCTGCAAAATGGGAGTTTGGCTATCATCTTAAGCGTGTCATTGTAATGATCAACAGGTACATATCTGGTTTGCTGGTTACATGAGATAACGGCACAAATCAGAGATTACCATGCATAGTCACACACTTGTGCTTGTAGCTTTATATAGTTGATATCAGAAAAAATTTGTCCATATTTTATGCTTGAATAATATGTCTGATCATTCTTCAGGCAAACTGAATCCATTGCTGGGGTTTTGTGTGTAGAGCCTTGTTGTGTTGATGATGAGAGGCACTTGAAAACTTGACAGTCGTGTCTTATTATCCTCTTCATTATATGAATGCTTTGCTTGTGGTAGAGAATCTTTAGTTATGAGCTACGTATATGCATTCTAATATTGCATGTGGTAATTCGGTAAAAGATGACCACTGCACACATGATAGTTAAACATTTTCACCGCCGTATTCGAGTGCATGTATATAGTAAATGTACGTGTATATGCATGGGATCATACTAAAGTGACAACCTGGAGCCTTAAGGACTTGGTGAAAAGATTCGAACAAGACGAAGCAAAATATGGCCGTTAGTTTGCCAAGAATTCTTGGCATTAGAATTTAGATGAAAATCATGGGCAGCAAGTTCCAGCTTTTTGGAGGTAAATTCTAACCGTATGAGGAATTTTAATGGAATGTGAAATGATTTATTGTGGGCTGTTGATGGAATGTGTATGGTGCAATTTGTTTGGTGAAAGCTTGACAGCCTAATAAATGTTAAGAAGACTTATTGCTACAATGTGGGCCATTCTTTGTCTTTTACTTCATCGCCTTCCCCCGCCCCAAAGCACCCCACCACGCAACTACTTCTCTCTCTTTATTCTCTTATAATAAAATGACTTGGTTAGTTAAAAGTTAGATAATGACATCTAGGGGAAAGTTTGGTAAGTGATACTAAGCCATGTTTGGTTAGTTAAACGTTATATTTTTAGTAAATTTTGATAAAATATATGATTGAAAAGTTGATAAAGATTGTTGATATACGTGGTTAAAAACAAGCTTAAGAAAAAGTGAAATTTAAAAAATAAGGGCCAAATAAACATAATAATATAACAATTATCACTTGTTGATTCTAAAGGACTAACGAGAATATGTTGATCAATGGTTATTGGTTCGACCGAATAGCGATAATTTTACAAGTGCTCGAAATTAATGAATTTGGTGATTCACATAGTTTATTGAATTATTGAGAAATCTCAATATAATATTTGATGAATAAATTAAATATTTTAAGCACTTTTTAAAAGTATTAACGTTTCATCATTTTTCAATTAATTTTCATTTTAGAAGATTGTATCATTATCATAGAATCTTTCCATTTATGGTGTTGTATAATGTAGTCTTATAAATTTGAGTTACCTTTTGTAATATGCAAATTTTAATAATTCTCTTCGTTACAGATTTTGTACATATGCGTGTGTGATATAATAATCAAGGATCCGTTTGATTGCAATGGTAGAAAATTTGTGGAAAGAAAATAAATTTCAGAGAAAATAATTGCTTAGAAATTATTTTGCAGGAAATTGTTAATTAAGTGTGTTTAATTGGTATAATTTTTTACCCGAAAAATTTTAAAATTTTATATCCGTTTGGCTTTGTTTTACATGGAAATTGTCCATTAAAGTGATAATTTTTTCCATAATTGGTTATAAAATTTGTTTCAATTGCCAAAAAACGAAAAAAAAAAAAAATTGTTCTCTAAAAAATAATTTTTTTAATCAAAATCCGTTTGGCTTTGTTTTACATGAAAATTGTCCATTAAAGTGATAATTTTTCCACAATTGGTTATAAAATTTGTTTCCATTGCCAAAAAAGTAAAAAAAAATAATGAAAAAAAATTGTTTCCTAAAAAATCATTTTTTATCAAAGTTTAGTGTTCGTTTGATTTTATTTTATATGAAAATTGTATATTAAAATGATTTTTTTTTTTTACAATTGGTTATGACATTTATTCTCATTATATATATAAAAAAAAAAACCAGCCGCCTAAAAAATCATTTTCCCACCAAAAAGGTGGGAAAATGAATTCCCCAAAATCAAGCACAAGAGGCGTGTGAGCCTCTCCCAAGAAAATGTTTTGCCAGCAAAATTTTGCACATCAAACACCTCATTTGACTGGAAAAGGAAATGAAATTCCAAGTTCCAAGGAAAATAAAGCAAATCAAACAGGGCCCAAGTGTTGTGCTCCTTGTACAAAAAGAAAACCACAGTAACTCACCAGAATACACACAAACAGTAGGCCCCATCGTGTATTAAAAAAAAATTGCACGGGACCCACATGTAAGTCTATTCTATGAATTTTTTGTTGATTTTATTTCTGTACAAGCAGCATCTCTCAATAATCAATTGCTACCTTTTTATTTGCAACGAATAATCAATTGTTACCGATGTCAAGTACATATAAAATTGTTTGTCTCTAATAAAATCTTTAAAGATTCATATTAGATGAATAATTTCTTCTAAATAATGTTAGGGAACAATTTACAAAAACCCTTCAAAATTTTACTGATTTCATACTTACTTTTAAACTTTTTTTTTTAAATTCTCAAAATACTTTTTGTAATTCCTTTTTTTTTTCACAGTAATTTTTGTTACATAATATTACATTTTATAAAACCATGTTACATACATTTTATCACCACCATCATGACTTAGTAACATTTAGTTTTATATCAACATTTTCGCTGCCACTTCTTCACTTATAATATTTATTGTTAACATGATGTACAACCATCGCTACACCTTGTAAAATTTATTATTATACAAACACTCACACTGCTCGCCACCACCGCATGCACCATCGTGCCACCATCTACTACCATCAATGGCAGGAGTCTAACCTCCATGCTAGCCACAAAATCCAATTTCAGAAAACGAAAGGAAAGAATTTGAAGAAAGATGAGGCAATGGAGATTTTTCTGGTGAAGTGGAGCTGAATTAGTGCTCTAATACTCCGTCTATAAATCCTTTCAATCACGAACTTCAAGAAAAAGATTTGAAGATGTTCAAAACTTTTTAATTTTCATACTCATTTTTAACTACACATTTACACAATAAAATACTTTGCACGTGAATTCAAAAATTTTCCTCATCTTTCAATCACACATTCTAAACAAATCACTATTTAGAACTTCATTTTCTCAAAATAATGGCCATAAACGAGACGAGCAGCTCGTCCGCTCTGTCACTCGGCTAGCAAAAAAATATGATCGTGGGCGGCTAGGGCTCGTACAAGCTACAAGCCCGAGCCCAAGTCGAGCGGGGCCAACTTGCCAGGTGAGTCGAACCTCCTCTGCTCGTGAGGCAAGCTCACGAGCAGGCTCGTGGCTCGCCACTACAGTGACCATTTTGGTCACTGTATAAGTTCAGTGATTGTTTGCAACGATCTTTGAACTCACAAAAGTGGCCATTTTGGCCATTTTATTTTTATTTTTTCTTCTTTTTTTACTCTATAAATACTTTAGCCCGTTTCCATAATTTTCACACAACAACAATAATTCTCACTCTCTTCCACATTCTGCAATCTACTACATTCATTTTTATCTTTAATATCAATTATCACACTACAAATTTACAATTACAATCTTACACATCAACTGTCTTTCAATTCTTGATTTTTTTTTTCATACTCTTTATTTAGTTACTTAATTACTATACGGTTCATCACAATTTACAAATGGATCCATAATCATATGTAA